TTTTTTTTTTTTTTTATGGTGAAAAAGTATATTTAGAATTAGCCAGCTGGACTCAGTTTAGATGATCCCAATTTTCTTGGCAACATCCAGAGCATCATAGTCAGGAGCCAATTGAACATACGCCTTCTTCTCTCCATCAGGCCTTATGAGAGTGTTGACTTTGGCCACATCAATGTCATAGAGTCTCTTCACAGCCTGTTTGATCTGGTGCTTGTTGGCCTTGACATTCACAATGAACACAAGTGTGTTGTTGTCTTCTATCTTCTTGACTCAGTGGTCAGGGGGAATTTGATGATGGCATAGTGGTCAAGCTTGTTTCTCCTGGGTGCACTCTTTCAAGGATATTTAGGCTGCTTCCTGAGCCGCAGGGTCTTGGGCCACTGGACATGTGGATCTTCTTCTTTTTGTGGCTGTGGATGCCTTTCAGCACTGCCTTCTTGGCTTTCAAGGCCTTCGTTTTGGCTTTGGCTTTGGGAGGGGCAGGAGCTTCCTTCTTTGCTTTCAGTGCCATCTTGGCGAAAAGTATAGTGTTGTTTTTATGATGCTTTGGAGTATGCCTGTTGAACCCTACATCTTGCTAACTTGGGGCCCTCTCCAACCCAATGTGGAGGTTATATGACTGATTTGTGGTTTTTTTTTGTTTTGTTTTTTGTTTTGTTGTTGTTTTGTTTTTTAGCTAATGGAATGTGTGGTGTCTAGATGGAATATGGAGATGGTAGCAGGTAGATTTCTATTACTGAAAGCTTTTATGGGAATTGGAAGAGACAGAGAGAATTAGGACAATCAGATCAGGGTGGAGATTTCTGGATGAGACACTTGAGAGGAAAGGGTGGTAACTGAGGTCACACAATGCTAGTACCTGGAGTCATTTTCCTGTTTTAGTACAGGCAATAGGCCTAACCTAGCAGGGTTGCATCTAGAGTTTTCGGGGAAGGGAGGGAGGAGCTTGTGGAGCTGTGAATGACTGTAGGGGTAGGCTGGGTTAATTCTTTGACCTCTAATTAATTGTCACAGGTGCAATAGGAAGAAACATGGCTTTGATGGTAGGACTTCCTAGTGACTGCCTGATGTCACCTTGGACTGGTCTGTAGTCAGTCTCCAGACAAGTCAGTGTCTCAGAAGGCTATTTTCCATTTTGTTCCTGTCTCAACCCATCCCAGATGTGTCCTACCTCATAAAGCATCTTGATCTGGCCCTGACTATCTATAGATTTGCTGACAGGATTTTTATCCCCTCTCTCAGTGCCTCCTTCTATAACCCTGCTTTACCTCCAAGCCTTGAGAGTCCCCGTGAAGCCATAGGAGAGCTGAGGTCTGGGGCTGAGCTCCTGACCTACTGTTGTTTGTCCATAAAATGTAGATATTGATTCTATATCCATCTTGGAAATATTATGAGGACTTAATGTAAATGTCCTATTGATTTGTTTCTCTCCAACTTTTTATATATGCCTCTTATCATCTCGCCTGTCACATACAATGTCCTCAGCAGCCAGGCATCTCAGAGTTCTGTGTCCAGTGGTCTGAAGGAAAGTGATAGGTTGTGATAGAGTCTGCAGAGACTTGGGGTAGGGACATCTGTGTAGAGTAACACTCCCTAATCAGTCACATTCCACATTGGTAAAGTAAGAATATAGCCACATCTTCTGTTTGTAACAAAAGATGAGTCTAATATGTGGCATATTGCTATTGTTAACTGTTGAGAAAGAAGTAATGTTTGAAACACGATGTCCACCAAATGACTTCTGTTTCTCCTTCTATCTCAATCTCTTTAGAGAAGCCTTTCTTGATGTCTCAGAGGAGGTTATCTCTTTACAAGGTCTCTTGGCGGCTGAAACCAGCAGCATTTCCCAGGGCAGATGGAGTTATTCACTTGTATAGTTAGATTTTGAGCTGTGTTTTCCTCTAGAGTTGAAGGTTTATAGACAGTTGGAGACCCCCCTCTCTCTCTGGCTCTTCCTCCTTCCCCTGGCAATAGCTGTACATATTTGTTTCTCACTAAGTATTTGCTCAGTGGCAGCCTCAATCACCCTTGGTTTCCAAAGACCTAGGCTGAGATCTTGTTATGTTGACATCATTCTGTTTTCACAGACTATTTCTACAGGGAGATAGTGGGGAGCCCATTTATTTATTTCCCAGGAAAACAGGCTGATTAACTAGATGGTCCTGTCTTGTGGAGTCCTGTGGACCAGCTGGACAAGGGAAGGTCTAAGGATTCTGCCAGAAAGGAATTGTGGGGATGGTGCCTGTGAGGGTTCAGATGGGACATGACATCAGACCAGGGGCCACACAGCCTTCCAGAAACAGAAGCCATCACCCTTCACACTAAACTGAGTTCAGCAGACAGTGTAGGTCTAGAGAGAATGTGGCCAGAAGGAACAAAGCAACTGAGCTGACAATGACTTCGAATGCCTGAGGTGATGGGTACAGTATCTAGCTAGACCTAACTGTTTTGTAGTGTATGCATTCCCCAAAACAGCATGTGGTGTGTTACAAACCTACATGATTTTTACCTACAATCTATGGCTGTATCCAAACAAAGCAAATCAAGAACTCTCAAAATTCACACTCCAAAACCTATGCCAAATACACGCAAGATCCACCTGCAGCTTGGCTCTGGAGACTCTCAGGAACCTACATGTTAATGCAAAGACACCTGAGGTGTTTCATTCTTCCTCCCCACCTAGAGCATAAGGACCAGGCCAGCATATTAATCCCAGAGGAAAATACTTTTACTAGACAGCATCCTTCCCTGTGGTCAAATAGAACCTTGCAGTACACTAGGTGTTCCTCGGTGTTCCTTCTTGGCCCCGGGGACCCTTAGAGTGACCTGAATATCACCGTATTGACTTTAGGTGTGAGATAGGCTCTGCTCTTTACTATTTCCAGAGAGGTGGCTTGAGAATTCTTGTACTGACAGGTTATACAGAAAGGATATTTGTATCCTAAAAGAATGAAGTAGAGTGGCTGTACCTAGGAAGTTTCTAGCAATCCTGGTAAGTATTCCTGGATCCATTCTTATAATGAAGGATCAGGAGGTATGACTGAGTCTGCCCACCCTTGAGAGGTGGTCCTGTTTCCATGGTTTGAAGGAGCTACCTAGCATCACATTTAGAATAGTAGACAAAAATAAGTCTTTATTCTGAAAAATACGCTTTTAAATTTTCTTGAATTTGGGCCACAAGAAGGAAATGTCTCCTTCTTACTCAGTGAAAGCATTCCCACCCCACCCCTAATACATGCCAAGACAAGTGTGTCAAATAGCATGCACTGTGCAGTTGGCATGTACTGGCATTTTTCAGACTCTAAAAAAGTGTAACTTATTAAATGCATTTCTTTACCTCTCTAAGAGCCATTACCTCACCATGAAAAACAGTATGTTAAGAATGCACCTGGATCCAGATTTCACATGGGAAAATTGGGACATAACTATTTTGAAACACATACCTCCAGAGGCTAGCATGATAGCCTAGAGAAAAACAAAACAGGATTTTCCAGAGAATCTCACAACTAAAATTCCTTCCCCAGGACCCTCCTAATACAAATATGGAAATAAAGCTCAGAAATGCATGACTTTCTCAATGTTACCCTGAGAGATTACTTTGGGGGAAAAATATGTCCTCAATCACTACTTCAGGATCCTGTCTCCCATGTCAGGGACAGGCTACTGTGGCCCAGACAGTCTGAGCATCCTCTGGACAGATGTGAAGCCCTTCCATTTGATGGGTAAAATCTCCTTGCCAGAAGAATGTGGCTACTGGGGAATGCGAAAGGTCATCTGTCATCTCTTGACTGCTTACCTGGCGTTTCTAGGCATTTACAACTGGCTGAGCTGGCCTGGTGAAGGGGCAGCGGCACTTTGCCTGAAGCGGGATACTCAGAGATGCTCCACCCCGGACTCAGGTGAGGCTAGTGTGTCTCCCTGGATAAAAAAGCTTGTTTCTCAGTGGAAGAATCTTAGCACAGGCAAAGCAGACTCCCACACAAGACCTGTCTCAGATTCTAGGGACAAACATCACAGCTGGAAGATACCCACTACTCACTGTGAATTCCTTACCAAGCTCATTTTGCTGATGCCCAGCAGTTGACCACAGGCCACTCACAAGGCTCTCCTGTCACTAGGCTTGCAAAACCAGGAGCTAACTATTACCTGTTTCCCCTTAGCCTCTGTGTCCCCAGTCCCAGTCAGGGCCATCAACAAGTTCCCAAGGCTTACCTGGCTCCATCTGGGAGAAGAGAAAAAATAACATCACCAGGAGAAAGTAATGAGTTTTCATGGCGGTGGCGGCGGCAGCGGCGGCGTGGTCGTCCAGCGTCCAGAGTGCAGAGAGGACAAGAGACTCCCAGGTAGCTGAGTTGACAGATGCTTCCGGAAGCCTGAGTGAGCTTGTTTTTTTTATAGGAACACTGGTTGCATAACCTCATAAATAAGCTGAAGGGAGGCGTTGCAAACCACAGTGCAGTTCAAATGACACCTCATGGTATTCGCCCTGAGAAAGAGTCCAAGTCCTGTGGGTACATTACCTCTCCTCAGCTCTAGCTGGATTTTATTTTTTCAGCCTGGATAATAGGCATAGGCATCTCTTGTCAAGCCTGTTCTGATTCTCAGGTTGAGATTCTAAGAGACTCTGCGAGGCAGCCCCTATCAGGACCTCTTGGGTTAGATAGGTTCAGAGAACCTGTGAGTCGCCCAGTAACCCAAACAGGTGACTCTGTGGCTCCGGGCTGCTGTGGTTCCCTTTTGTTTAGCTGTTTCCCTTTACCGTGCTCAGGGTTTATCTTCTCCTGGCAGGATGGTGAGCTGATTGCTGGGATGGAAGCAGCAGTGGGGGTTGCTTTCTCATCTCTGCATTCAAACCTTACTCCCTGAAGGCTCTAAAGAGCTGGTGTTTCCAACTGGGCACCTCTTCCTGGGGTTTTCCCGACTCTGGCTCTCCAGAAAAGCATCTGAGTTAAGTCCAGGGAGGAGCAATTGTCCACCTGGTGAATGCTTAGCTAGGCTCTAAGTATTCAGTTATTGTACCATTTTAAAATATCTTATTTTTCATAGAATTTCCAGTGCAAATCTATAAGCAGATTTCCTAGAATATTATGAAGGATCTTATTTATAAGCAACAGTAAATGCCTCTACCCAACATGTAAGAGCAGAGTTTTTTTTCCAGCTGAGAATGTTTTTTATTATTTTTTTAACTTATTTTACATATCAATCAGAGATTTTCCTTCCTCCTCTCTTTCTGTTCCCTCTCCCAACTCCCTTCTAACCCTCCCATCCACTCCTCAGAAGGGTAAGGCCTCCTATGGGAGTCAACAAAGCATGGCACATCAAGTTGAGGCAGGACCAAGCTTCTCATCCTGCATCAAGGCTGAGCAAGGCATCCCACTGTAGGGAATAGATTCCAAAAAGCCAACCCATGCATCAGGGACAGATCCTGGTCCCACTGGTAGGGTGTCTACAAGCTACACAACTGTCACCACATGCAGAGGGCCTAGGTCAGTTCTATGTAGGCTCCCTAGCTGTCAGTCTAGAGTCTGTGAGCTCCCACGAGCTTAGGTCAGCTGTTTCTATGGGTTTCCTCTGTCATTATCTTGACCCCCTGGCTCCTACAATCCTTCCTCCCAGAGCTTGGCCCAATGCTTGGCTGTGAATCTCTGCATCTGCTTCCATCAGTTACTGGACGAAAGTTCTATGATGAAAATTAGGGTAGTCACCAAGAGCAGAGTTTCTTAAAGTGATGCTAAGAAGCATATAGCCCCATTGTTGGGGCTGGAGGACTGAGCTGTAGCTAAACTGCTAGGAACAAGGTCCAGTCTGTGCCACTTGATCTGATGAGGATCCTAGGCTGCAGCCACCTCAAAGGAGGCACCAGCACAGACTCTTCAGAAACTATGGCCACCACTAGCAGAACAGCTTTCTATACTAAGACATGGACCTGACCTTTCAGATACAAGCACACACACAAGAACATGCAACCACACACAAATACCACAGAAGCATACACACACACACAAGCACATACACGCAAGCATACACACACACAAGCATACCCATACACACACACACACAAGCATACCCATACACACACACACAAGCATATACACATAAGCATGCATATGCACACAACTATCTATTTATCTCTCTCTATACATATATATATATATATATATATATATATATATGAGAGAGAGAGAGAGAGAGAGAGAGAGAGAGAGAGAGAGAGAGAGAGAGAAAGAGAGAGAGAGATACACATACCGGGGCAGACATAGACAGAGATAGAGACAGAGATGGTAGAGACAGAAAAAGAGGAACTAGAAGAGTACCAGAGATGAAGAGAGATTGAGAATGGCTAAGACAGAGACACAGGTTTGCCTTCAGAGAGGGAAAAAGTCAGAGGCAAAGGAAAAGAAAAATACACAGAGAGAAACACAAAGACAGAGTGAGAAAGATTTACATGGGGAGATTTGTTTCTCTCCCAATCCCAACCTTGGCCCTTCTCTCTCTGTAGTCATGCTCTGAGTCTGGATACTTCACTGACTGCTAGAGCCTCAGTCATAAGGTCGGCTACAAGAGATTCTGGGAAAGCAAGGCTGTTGGGTGTTTATTCAATAGCGTGCATGGTTATTTGTGTCTCCCATCAGTTTTCTGAAATGCAGACCGATGCTCAAAGAATGTAACGTGCTGGGAGTAACATAAGAACTATTAAGTGCATGTTATATCAAGATCCAAGTAACATTCACATACACGGGCACATTTACTTGGTTCCTGTGTGAGGCAGGAAGTCTTCAGTATCTTTGGAGTATGGTGAGAGAAGAGTTTCTTTTGGAAATTTTGCTCAGAGTATAGACACATGAAGATGACATAGGATGCAGCTGGGTAGGTACTCTAATGGTGTCATCCGGATGGAAATAAAAGCCCCAAGAAAGTGTGACTTGCACTTGCTCTGTAAGTAAAGTTACCGCTGGCTAGTTTCTAGGGGTGCCTCTTCAGGAAATCTGAGGGTTGGAGAATAGGGCGTTACCATGGAATAGACAGGAAACACAGCTCTGGCTCTTTCTCATTCTTACTCATTGTGTGAACCCCAATTCCATCAGGAAGAAGTTGACTTAGAGACTCCACATGTCTTTATGGACTGCCTGTGTGACTTCAAAGAAATGGAAATAGCATTGGGCACTCCTGTCATTCTGCAGGTGAAACATGATAGTGATCTTTAAACAAAACATCTCAAAATTCTATGGCTAGGTGTCATGTAATCTCAGTTTAACTAGGAATTTGGGGAGCGAGCTGAATCAAAATGATAATTCTAATTTTCAGAAGTGATGTTTTCTCCTCTGAACCCTGGAGACATTTTGTTTCTTAAGGCTGTGTTGACAGAACTTTAGCTATCCTATGATTAATTTTCTAGCTTATTTCTCAGAAGGAACCTTCATCCCAGTGTGGGACCCTCTCTGTTCCCTCACATCCCTCAGCAGTGCTTGTAGGGAAGAGTGCGGTCTTGGCTTGGTCCCTCCGTAAGAGGGTCTATGACTACCCTGCAGAGGTCGGGAAACACATTGTGTTTCTAGAGGAACCTGATGTAGTAGCTGCTTCAGCAGAAAGCATTGCAGTGGCTTCAGATCAAGTAGGGTTCTGGCTCTCTTCCATCGGAGGTCACAAAATCATGGCTTCTGCCATCAGAAGTCTCCTGTCCAGGGAAAATAACAAAGGGAACACTCATGATGTGCTTCTCCTGATGAATCCTCCCATTTGTTATAATGCTTACAATTTGGAAGTATCTCTCACTGGCATATACTCCTACTCCATAAAGGATAGTCTCAGAATTCAGAACTGGTCTATTACTCCAGCTCCAGACTGTGATCTGGCAGGTGGGGCCAAGGATAGACTCCTGCTTGGCTGATAGTGTGGATATCATCAGTGCACGGTTTTGCCCAGAATCACCACTTACTGACAGTTGGAATCATAGACTCACGGTATCAAAGCTGGAAGACATTTAACCAGTAGCTATTTCAGAGAGTTCCTGTTTCCTGTAGGGACTTAGAGGTCCAAGGACCAAGCAGGGCTGTCACCATCATGACCTGAACAGCTGTGATACATTTATACCATTTCTCAGGCTTCATGGATGAGCTTTTGTGGAAGAAAGGGTTTCTGGTAGTTAGGAAAGTAAAGAGAAAGTGAATCTAGTTCCAGAGGATCAGATGTTTTGTGGATACAGAAAGTAATTGCAGAATGAATTAATATTACATCGTGCACTGAAGTGGGGCTGTTGGAAGATTCCTCTGAGCTTTCCAGGTAAACAGTCCATGACTTGCCTGTTCTGGCCCTGGGATTGGGCCACTCCACCTGGACGATGCCCTAAAGGGAGTCCTTAAGCTACTTTTCACTGTTGACCTTGACTAATTTCTCAGGGTCTTGGAATTTGACCATACACATGGCTCTGCAGGGCCCTTGACTTATTAAGATCTGCATTTGTTTCTCATCACTGGGAAGGTTATCATTAAGGTATTCTTTAGGTATGTGTCCATATTACCAGTATCTACTATATTCATGATGGCCTCTTTAATGTTGGGAACTGAGTACATTTTGTCTGTCAGGCTGCCTGAGCCCCTGGGGTGTTTCTTAGTATTAACATTATTGAAAACAAAAATAATTGGAAGCATTTCAGAAATTCAACGAATGATATCTTTTCATTCTGTTTATTTATTTATTTATTTATTTATTTATTTATTTATTTATTTATTTATTTATTTATTTATTTATTTATTTATTGGTTTTTCGAGACAGGGTTTCTCTGTGTAGCTTTGTGCCTTTCCTGGAACTCATTCTGTAGCCCAGGCTGGCCCCAAACTCACAGAGATCCGCCTGCCTTTGCCTCCCGACTGCTGGGATTAAAGGTGTGCCCCACCACCGCCTACATTCCATTTATTTTAAGTGTGAAGAGGGGGCTTCATTTCAAGGCTGCATTGCAAGTCCTCAATGAAAAGCAAATTTGAGTTGTATGTTCCATCAACCCTGCCAGAGTCCTCCCAAATCTGTTGTAATTCATTCTTCTCTGCTGATGTTTTTGTGATTAAATTTACAGAGATGAGAAGGTACCAGGAGTCTGGCGCTGCTGTAGTTGTCAACACAGGGAAAGATGCTGAGCTGGAGGAGAGGTAGGAGGAGGAAGAGAGGGAGGGAGGACAGGAGGAATGGGAGAGTAGGAGGGAGAGGGGGACTAGGAGGGGAAGAGGAAGTGGGGAGAGAGGCAGTGGCCTGGTGAGAAGCCCAGGGTGAAGACTAGAAGGCCAGCTCAGAGACAGGGCTTAGACGGAACTGGCTGAACAGGATCTTAGATAAGTCATGGGTCACCTGTCATCCTCAGGTTCAATTTCAGGACTCTTACAATATTGTAGAACCAGTGTTTAGGCCAGCAGCCCTTCCTGAAGCAGCCCCTGGAGGAGAGTTGCCAGCAGCACCTGCCTTTTTGACACATTCCGCAAATGTGCACACCATTGTTTTGAAGTTTATACACACCTTATAATGTGTTTCTGAAAGCAAACACTTTTTCGACTTTTGCGTTTTTAAGGTAAGGGCAGATCTGACAATCTTCTGACTGCTGTGATCCAGACCCCTCCATTGTTTCCTTTCACAATCCATAAAATCACACTGTTTTTAACATTTGGACCAAGTGTTGGCTTTCTATGGGGGACCTGGAGGAGAACAATTCTCTCCTGTGGGGACTGAGCAGAGCACTGTGGAGGAAGTCTCATTTAGAAGATATCGAGCTGAAGGTCCCAGGATGTGAGGCACCTGAGTGCCATGTGTGTCTTCAGAGCCTGAAAAGACGAAGGAGCCCATTGTAGACATAGCTTGGCTCGGGGCTTCTGTATTACCAATGTTACCTTGAGGGACTTACTAAGCTTCTCGAGTATCTTTCTGTGAAGAATGAAAGGCTGCTGTGAGTGATGGATAAAGGAAATCTGGACAAGAGCTAGTTCAGGTTGATTAAATGTTTGGGGATGTGCTTTCATCCTGGGCTATAAACTATCTAGAGAAAGGGAGAGGCTGAGTGGCTGCATGCTCCAGGTTCCTCACAGGTGGAGGAGAGGGTTGAGTGAGAGCTGTCTTGTGATCATTCTTTGGGTCACAGCAACTTGTAGATTCTGCCCTCTGTCTCTGAGCTTGCTCTTGATCTATATTCCAATGCTATACAGTCATCTTAGGGTATAAAGCTTGTATAGGAGAGACTTAGAGTGGTTCGGCAGTGGGCAGGACAGATGTGAGCTCTCATCCCCCCCCCCCCAGAGCTGAGGACTGAATCCAGGGCCTTGTACTTGCTAGGCAAGCACGCTACCACTGAGCTAAATCCCCAACCCCATGAGCTCTCATTCTTAGCATAACACTGAAACGTCAGTTGAGTTTCAAGGGCTAAATTCCATGGTGAAGGAGCACATACAGCACTTATACAGGATAATACAGGATAAGGGTTAACTTCACTTGGGTTAGGGGGAAGTCCTTTCAGAGTTTCAAAAATTAAAACATTCTAAATTTTATTTTACATTATTTACTTATTAAGTGTGTGTGTGTGTACTTGTGATTGCGACTGTGTGTTTGTGGGTGTATATGTCACAGTGTGCAGGTGGAGGTGTTCGGATATTAGAGGACAACTTTCAGGAGGTTGTGCCTGTTATCAGGTGTGTCATCCAGGGCTTCACGTGCCAAACCATCTTTCCAGCAGCAGAGGTGGAAGTTTTAAAGCTGGGATTTAAACAATGAGCAAACCTGTCCAGGTGAAGAAGTAAAGACGCAGAGAGAAGAAGAATAGCAGACCCCCCCCCCCCCAGGGGCTGCATTTCAGGGGCTGATAGAGTGAAAACTGGAAAGCAAAGAGCGGGTAAAGGGAGATAAAAGCATGTTAGGAGAAGCCCCTGCCACACCTCAGAAACTTTGTCAAAGGTCTGAGACTTTCTTCCAGGGATAACAGGAAACCATTAAAACTACTCTTGTTTATATTGTTGAAGGATATGCATAATGTGAAAGTTACCTGTAGTGGGTAGCCATTCCAGCTTTGATCTGGAAGTTCCACTCCCCATTGAGGCTTTGGTAACTGTCACACCTACAAGGCAGGGCCAGGAGAGGACCCTGAAGACCCAAGATCTGGATACACCAGCTCTCTTGGTTCCTGGACCTTGGACTCAGGAGGTAGACTGAGCACAGTTCTCGAGAGAACACCCGCCTGACTGTACTATGCCTTTCCCAGATTCTGTAAACTATCCATTCACCACAAAATAAACCTCCCTTTTAACTATGTGGAGTGACCTTAATAATTTCACCAATATCTGGCACCCAACATGGGGCATGAACCCACGACCCTGAGATTAAGAGTCTCAAGCTCTTAGCTAATTGTGTTAGTTCAGTGGTACAGAGCACATTCACATTACTGTGCAACCATCCCCACTAACTAGCCTCAGATCATTGGCACTGTTCCAAACCAAAACCCAGAACCCACGAAGTGCTCTCTATTTGCCCCATCCCAGCTCCCAACACCACCCATCTCATTTTCTGTCTCTATGATTCTGACTGCTGACCCCAGATAATGGAACCCCATACAGCAACATCTGCACTGCAGAAAAAAAAGTCCACAGTGGCAGAGAAGGTTGCTGCCATTCCTTAGACAAAGAGACACCCTTCTCCAAGCCAGATTCTTGGCAGGGCTATTGTCAGAATCAGTTCCCAAAGCAATCTGTGAGCTGGGTAATGTTAATCCAGTTTAATTCCTAATGACACCTGAGAGTCTGAGGACTTGCACAGTGAAAGACCAGGGCTTTGCATCAGGTATCAGTCAATTGTGTTGGGTAGGAGTCATCCATTTGCAAACCATAGCCATCACCTTCTCTTCCTGGAAAATGAATAGTTTGGGCTGAAGTCCGTCAGGAACTCCAATATACTTTCCATTCTGAGAGTGAGTCATGCCTCCCCCTGCCCAGCCCCCCACAGCTGGTAGATGGAGGTGCCATTCTTTAGGTCTAACTAGGCTTCCACTTTTTCACCAGCCTCCATCAGACCAGGTCAGGTCTCCACTCTCTTCTCTA